AAAGCAGCAGAGGATGGTTCAAGTCCTTGGGCCCTTGCACACATGATAGAGACCTGAAATAGGCTCCTGGTTCCCAAACAATCCAACTCTGACAATCATAGTCATTTGGGGAATGAGCCAGCAGATGGAAGGTCTGTTTCTCCCACTTTCAAGTAAAATAAAAAGATTTTTAAAAGAAAATAAATGAAAGCTCGGCACAGTGGTCTAGCAGCAAAAGTCCTCGCCTTGCACGCATCAGGATCACATATGGTCACTGGTTCGTGTCCTGGTGGCACCACTTCCCAACCAGCTCCCTGCTTGTGGCCTGGGAAAACAGTCAAGGACAGCCCAAATTTGGGATCCTGCACCTGCATGGGAGACCAAGAGGCTCTGGCCACTTCAGATCAGCTCAGTTCCAGCCATTGTAGCTGCTTGGGGATTGAATCATCAGTCGGAAGTTCTTCCTGTCTCTCTTCCTCTATGTACAGCTGACTTTACATTAAAATTAAAAATAAATCTTACCAAAAAAAGAGAGAACCTGGCACAGTGGTCTAGTGGCTAAAGCCCTTGCCGTGAACACACCAGGATCCTGTATGGATGCCAATTCTAATCCCAGCAGCCCTGCTTGTTGCCTGGAAAAGCAGTCAAGGATGGCCCAAAGCCTTGGGACCCTGTACCCATGTGTGGGAGACCTGGAGGAAGTTCCTGGCTTCAGATCTATTCCAGCCGTTGTGGTCACTTGGGGAGTGAATCATTGCACAAAAGATCATCCTCTCTGAATATCCGACTTTGCAATAGATTTTTAAAAAAAAAATTTTTTTTTAAGATATAGGGCCTCTAGAAATCATTCTGTTTAGCATCTCATTTTAGATAAGGACATGAAGAGGTTTCTAAAAGATCATAATCTATATAGGATTGTGTGTCACAATCTCTGTGGAAGGGATCCATCTGTCTCTCTAACCTCAACCTCTACAACAATGCCTTATATAGTATATATAAGGTGCTTGGCAAATATTTATTGAATGAGAAAACAAACAGACCACTGAAGGCTTTGTAGCTCAATGCCAGTGAAAAATTGACCAGGAAAATAAAGGACTCTGTTGACCAGCTAATAGATTTTTCTAACTAGACATCCCAGGGCCAGTGCTGTGGCATAGCAGGTACAGCCACTACCTGTAGCACTGACTTTCCATATGGGTGCCAGTTCCAGCTGCTCCACTTCCATTCCAGCTCCCTGCTAACGCTCCTGAGAAAGCAGTGATGGAATGACCCAAACACCCACATAGGAGACTCAGAGAAAGTAGCTGCCTCCTAGCTTTGGACCATTTCAGATTGGGTCATTATAGCCATCTTGGGAGAGAACCAGCAGATTAAAGACAGCTCTGTCTCTTGTAGCAATCCCAAGTGTAACTACCTTTAACTTCTGTGGAAAACAAACTCTGAATAGTTTTTAGGCTTTATGGTTCATCTTTCCAGTCTGATACCATGATTGGTGAGCACAAATCAAGCCTTTAAAGCTACGGCTGGGGTCAGTGCTGTGTTATTGCAGGTAAAGCAGGTGTATTTCATACAGGCACTAGTTTGAATCCCAGTTGCCCCACTTCTGATCCAGCTCCCTGCTAATGTGCCTTGGAAGCAGCGGAGGACAGCACAAATGACTGGGCCCCCATCACTCATGTGAAAGACCCAGCTGAATCTCCTGGCTCCAGCCTGACCCAGCCGCAGCCATTGTGGCCATTTGGGGAGTGAACCAGTAAAGGGAAGTCTCTCCCTTAAAATCTTTAAACATTAAACAAAAGTAACAACTACAATGTTTAGATTTCATAATCTCACTTGCCAAGAATGGTTTCATACCCAACAAAATGAGACGGGACCATATTCAGGAACAGCTATATAATTTTAATCTAAAGATTTGGGCATACAGAAAGCATTTTACATAAATTCTCTTGAGTTTTTTTTTTTTTTTAAATTATGACAGAAGATGAGGGCCCCAGAAAAATAAGTCTCTTTCCAAAGGTCTGAATCCTCAGCCTCTGCAGTAAAGACAATCACTGATAATCCAAGTATTATCTTATCACTCACATATCTGGTAGGATATCCATTGTGAATTATCAAGTTTCTGGTAGGATGTCCAACCAAATAATATGGCTTATCAAATAAATAGGTCTATTGCTTTCTAACTAAAGCACTGCATACACCCTGACAGCAACACTGTGGCCCAGGGATCAAATATTTACACACACACGTGTTTAAGTTCTGTATTTTGCCTAGCATTAGAATGGCAGTTGGGCTTGGTAGCTTCTAGTCATCTCATGAGTGTTTGTTCAAGACGGTCATTTATTACAGTGGACTTCACTCAATGTCAGTTTTGTCAAATGTACCAAGTGAATTCCGGTGACTCAGGAAGTCACTGACTCTATGCTTCAATCACCTAGCTTTCGTTTGCAATAAGCTCCCCAAGCTCTATTCCTGCCACATTTAATTTTCAAGAATATTCTGAAAAACAAAAAAATTTTTTTTTCACATATGATTTTAAGAATATTTTTTGATTAAAAAGTTGGACTGAATTCAAAATAAACCATCCTGGTATAACCTCCTTCTGGGTTGTTCTGGAAAGAAAAAAAAAAAAAAAAAAAAAGACACTGACATATAAGGAGGTAACCAAGATGAAAAGAAGGGAAAAGATAGCTAGAAGTGAAGAAATGACACAGACCCCCCACATACACACTTTAAAAACTTTATTTATATAAAAAAACTCATTTGTTTTTAAAAGCATTAACAAGAGAGAAAGAAAATGAGAAAAGATGGAGCAGAAGGCATGCCCCTTAGTAGTGTTCAGTGAGAAAGTGGGATTTTTGGTTCTCTGAAATTGAATGCTTAGTGTTTTTATAAATCAAAGAAGGAAAGAAGGGAAAAAAAAAATAAAAAAGAAAGAAAGAAAGCAATGAAAGGTCCCCAAAAGCCCATGGCTGTTGTATTACCCACATCCCACCGAGAAAGAGAGCACCAGGAAAGAAGCAGAGGAGGAAGAGAAACCAAGAGTGGAGCAGGTGGGCTGGGGCAACTTCCCCTGTGAGGAGTGCTCTGGGGGTGGCAGAGAATATGAGGTGGATGGGAACAGGAAGGAATGGGAGGGGGGAAACAAATAAGGAATTTCAACATATGGGGAAAGGGGGGAGGAAGGTTGAGTTGTGCACTTTTCTCCTACCCCATAGCCTCAGTATGTAAGGGGAAGAGGAAGAGAGGGATAAAGAATTCCAGTTGCATTGAACAAAGTTTTCAGATTAAGGGGAGTAGAGGGCAAATAAGGATTAAAAACAGAACAAACAAAACAAACAAACAAACAAAAAACCCCGCATAGCAGCCGCTTCCTCTAGCCCAATCTGCTAATACACAGCAAAGCGGGAAGGGGCAATCAGGAAAAGATGGCTTCCCTACGACCCCTTCAGAGATGATGGGAACTTGTGGGCAGCCAAGGAGTAAGTGTCATAGCACTCACTCCTCCCATTAACTTCACTATGAGATTTATCAGAATGGGATTTTATAAAACCCCAACCCTATGCTGTTGAGCAAAAGCTTGCTATGGCTAAAATCAAAAGCTATGCCAATCCCCAATTGAGAATCTGAAGTTCTCTACCTCTTCTCTTCTATTTCTGAGGGCCAATAGTGGGCAAGAAAGCAACAAAATATAATCTGCAAAATCATGAGAAATGAGACTGCGGAGGTAAAGAAAGGCACATGGAAGGGAGGGAGGAGATGCACCCCAGGCCAAAGGCACAGAGAAGAGGCAAAGCCAGGGGCAACCCCCACCTTGTCAGGGTAAAGGGGACAAGAGTTATGTACATCAAGTCCTTTAGTTGGCCAACCAATCCAGGGAGAAGGCAGGGGACGATGGGACAAAGAGAAGGACAAGGGGAAACGGGACAGAGGGAAGCCAGCTCTGAAGCTTTCTGCCAGTTTCGGACTAACCACTTCACGCGCACTCCCACTAGCTCCTCCTAGAGGTTCCTCTTCTTTCCAAGATAGCTTTTTGCTCCTTCACAACCAAAAGTCTTCCTTGACATTCTCCTCTTTTTATGGCCTCTTGCAACTGGCCAGGCCACCTCAGCAGACATGTCACAAGGTGGGAGACGAGGGACACGGACAGCCTCAGTGGCAGCACACCAGAACTGGCATGAGGCTTGCAGGAGAGATGGAGTCTGTAGGTCTTTGATGGCCCCTGCCTCACCAGTGAGGAGAGCAAAATTCCTTAATCCCAGTTCTAGAAGACCTTCACTTACTCAAGGGCCCTTGCCAGGTGGTAATATGCCAATGTTGCCAGCCTTCTTTGCTTCAAAAACAGCCATTAGAATAAGGGAAAAGCTCACACTTCCTCTTCTCCAAAAGGGAATAAAGTCCCTTCCCCACCAAGGGGGAAAAAAAATCTTGATTAGGAATCATCAGTTTGTCAGATTGCTGGACACTGCATATATTGCATATAAGTTCCAATTCTTCTCCATTGCTTCCAGTGAATATTTCCACTCCCTCCCTCCACACAAGGCTAAGAGTTCAGGGAGAGTTGGCAAAAATAGCTAATCTGCAGCAGTTCCTCAAAATACGCAAATAACTGAGTGAAGCTTCTTGAAGAAATTGGAAGGAATGGGGGTGGAGGTGGGCAGGACATTTAAACTTCACTGGAAGAAGCTGGGAATTGATAGAAAGAAGGCAGCCACTTTGGGCTGAAAAAGCGGGAGGCAGCCTGGCAGTTGGCACAATAGTCCAGCGAAGAAGAAAAATCATCAGTCCATTTCACCGCCAAAAATAAAAGTACATATATTAGAAGCCTGGATGGAGCGGAGACGGTGGCACTAAATCTTCTGCTGTGGGGAAAACAAGAGAGAAAGCGGGTGTTAACACAGCTGAGAATAAAGAGACCCGAGACAGGACGGCTGGGTAAATCTGGAAGAAAAAAATCAACACACAATAAAGAATCAAGGCAATCAGCGGCTGCATGTCCCCACTTGTCAAGAGGCAGTGATCAGACACAGACAGAACCCCTGAGCCCAGCAAGGCTGCGAGCGCGCTCTGATGACATCAACATGATTGACACGAGGCTGACACACAGAGGCCTCCTTCCTCAAGTCTGATCTTGGGAGTGGCTGCAGGACATACCATGGGGGGGTAAGACACTTGGTGCCCCTCATCATCCAAAACCAACATATCCAACTCTTCCTCCAGGGATTCCTGTCCCTCGTCATGCTGTGAACACATGCAGTTTGTTAGTGCAACAGTACAGAAATGGGAATGTTATATGAGTGTGTGTCAAAGTCCACATACTCAACCCAAACAAGAGGACAGCAGGAGGACGTAACACTGAAAGAGGTAGACAGGAAGATAACACATGAGATCAGTCAGTGTCAGTCATACCAGCAACATTCAGACTTCCCTCCCTCCACCTTCACCACAGAATAACAGCCCGAGAAATCCCAAGAAAAGTCAAAAACCTCGCTTTTTACTGAAAACATCAACCGGAGAGTATCTTTCTCTTTATACTTTTTTTCCCCCCTATTTCACAGAATATACAGCTTCAGAATAGAATTCGCCTAGATGGACAACAGTATATAAAGAGAATTTACCATCAATGGTGTTCCCTTCAATGGCTCCATATCACCCAGATCCCCAGACCGATCCAGTGTTCTGTTATGGTCCCCTCTCTCATTCAGTGTGGAGTAATTGTTATCTAGTGAAAAAGTACATAGAAACACATTATCCTCTAAACTACAATATATATCCAGCAAGTCACTATAAATTAGTTTTGTTGGACACAAAAAGTCATTAAAGCCTGATGCTCCTTGAGTCTAATAGGAAAGACAACATACATAAAACGGAGAGTGTGACACGTAATGACAAAGATAACTGAAGAGATCTGTTTGCAAAGAGCACTGGAAATTAGCAAAGGGAGACTAAAGTAAACTACAATCCAGTACGATGAAGAGTGAGGATGCTAGAAAAACCCACAGACCCAAGTAGCTCTGTATCCTTAGCAGGCATTAATCACCTACCTAGTGATTTTGTGTTAGATCCCATATTGCTCATCTGAATCTCTTCCCGATCAGGTTTCTTATCTATAAGGAGTCAGAAAGTTATCCAGGTCAAAAACCAACCCTTTAAATTCTACGTACATCACAACAATTTCTCTCTGGTCTGTGGAAAATGGCAATGCGTAACGCCAGCCCCCAAGGGCCCTTTAAAAGCAATCCAAAGTGGCAGATGTTGTGGAAAAGTAGATTAACCCACTGCTTGGGCATCTGTGCCCCATGTCAGAGTGCCTGGTTAGAGTATCAGCTACTCATAGCTTCTGGTCCAGCCTCCTCTGATTGTATCTGGGAGGGTTCTTGCCACCCCTGTGGGAGACCTAGATGGAATTCCTGATTCCTGACTTCAGCCTGACCTAGCCCGGGTTGCTGGGCACTTTTGGAGTGAAACAGATGAAAGATTCTCCCTTTCTCCCACCTCCACCCTCTCTATGTGTGTGTGTTACTCTGCTTTTCAAATAAATATTAAAAAAAAACTAATAAGGCGCTAGCACTGGAACAGCTAAGCCACCTCCTACGATGACCTCATCCCACACTGCTGTACTGACCAGAGACTCAGCTGATCCACTTCTCTTCTTGCTTTCGGCCAATGCCCATGGAAGGCAGCGGGTGACGGCCCAAGAGCTTGGGTCCCTGCCACCACACAGGGGACCAGGATTGAGCTCCTAACTCCTGCCTTCAGTGTGGCCAAACCCTGGCTCTTGCAGCCATTTGTAGAGTGAACCAGAAGATGGAAATACAATCTCTCTTTTTTATTCTCCCTTCTATTTTATTTATTTATTATGATTAATTTTCCATTTATTTTTATTGCAAAGTCAGATGCAAAGATGAAGACGGAGAAGATTTTCCATGCAATGATTCACTCCCCAAGTGACCACAACGGCTGGAGCTGAGCCGATCCAAGGCCAGGAGCCAGGAACTTCTTCCAGGTATCCCATTTGGATATAGGATCCCAGGCCTTGGGCCGTCCTCAACTGCTGTCCAAGGCCACAAGCAGGGAGCTGGTTGGGAAGCAGGGTTGTAGGGATTAGAACCAGCAACTCCCCCTCCTCCCCATCTATTTCATAAATAAATCTTTAAAAATAACAAAAGCAGGGCCCAGGGCCATGGCCTAGCAGCTAAGGTCCTGCCTTGAACGTGCCAGGATCCCATATGAGTGCCAGTTCTAATCCCAGCAGCCCCACTTCCCATCCAGCTCCCTGCTTGTGACCTGGGAAGGCAGTCGAGGACGGCCCAATGCCTTGGGTCCCTGCACCCATGTGGGGGACCCAGAAGAGCTCCTGGCTCCTGGCTTCAGATCGGCAAAGCACCAGCTGTTGCAGTCACCTTGGAAGTGATTCATTGGACGCAATATGTTTCTCTCTGTCTCTCCTCCCCTCTCTATATACCTAACTTTGCAATAAAAATAAATAAATAAATCTTAAAAACATTGCTTTACACTTCCACAAGCCTTTTTAAACTCTGTCTTTACAAAACAGCTGGACTTTCATTTCTTCTTGTATTCACTCTATTATTTCAACAAAAAAGTCCAGACTCACACAGATAAGAAGCTGGAAAAGGGAGGACAATTTTAAGATTTTTCTCAGTCAATTGTGAATATTCTCCTGTGATGAACTACTAATATTTAAAAAGTAGTAGTTTCAGAGCCATCATTGTGGTGTGGTAGATAACATCACTGCCTACAACACACATATTCCCTCTGAGCATGGTTCAAGACCCTGTCTGCTCCACTTCCAAACCAGCTCCCTGATAAGACACCTGGGAAAGCAGTGGAAGACGGCCCAAGAGCTTGGGATCCTGACTCAGGTGGGAGACTCAAGAGAAGAGCTCCTGGTTAGAGCTTAAGGAGCCCCAGCCACCTGAGAAGTAAATCTTCCCAAGATATGAAAGATTTGTTTTTCTCTCCCTTCTCTATAACTCTTGTCTGTAAATATTTCAACAACACACACACACACACAATGAAGGCCAGCAGTGGCACAGTTCCCGGAACTTCCAGTTATGGCTCCAGCACCACAGAGGTGCCAGTTCAAGTCCCAGCAGCTTCACTTCTGATCCAGCATCCTTCCAGTGGCTCGGAAGGGTAATAAAGGAATATGCTAGTCCTTGGGCCCCTTTTCCCACGTAAGTGCCAAGACCTGGCTTCAGACAGGCTCAGTTCCAGGCCTTGTGGCCATATGGGGAGTGACCAATAAATGAAATACCTCTCTCTGTCTCTCCTACTCTCTGTGATCCTGCCTTTCCAGTAAAAATAAATCTTTAAAAAAAAAAAGCAGCTATTTCTTGTAGCAACAAATCATAAAATCAAAGAAACTCTTCATATTCTGTTAAATTAGAGTCTATCTACCTGGCTGGCACCCTAAGTAGATTAAAATACTCATACATGATTTTAAAACATCAGGCACTGGTTACTTCAAAATACTGCCTTGTAAAAATTAATGGCATACAAGGAGACCACGGGAAATTGGACTACCCTTGTACTTATTTGCAACTTTGGATCCCCACCCTCTCTGGCAATGACCATCAGGGTTGTGCTGGAGTCCCCCCACCACCCTAAAAATAACAACAAAAAATTAGAATAGACAGTCAGAGAACAACAAGGAAAGCTTAGAACCAGACAGGAAATTGTCAGCTTGGACTCACATATGCCTTACTAGGTAGGACACAAAGATTAGTTACACCTCACTAAGGTATTGAAGCTTTCTCTGCACACCCCTCCTAAAACTGTTCTGCACCTCAACTGTTGACATATGCCTTGTTAAGAGTTATAAGCCAGTTTGGACTATCCTAAAATCTGCCAAGTTCAGTAAAAATTATGCTTCAACACTATAAACTGCTAAATATAAAAATGAAAATAGACACAAGACAGCTGAATAGTACCCTATAGCCATTTTAAGGTGTATAGCAGCCAGTTGTATATAAACTAAAATTGAAATGTCAATGAAGTAGACACAGGATATGGTTAAGCACTTCTATTTTCTAACATATGGGTCACTCAATACCATGTCAATTAACTCCACAATGTTGTATATTGTTGTTATGTTTTGGCTTTTCATTAGACAGGATGATATTCTGCTAGCTCTAGCTTCAGACCAGAGATGGTCTCCCCAAGAAATTGTTGAATTTATCTGGACAATAAGATGCTGGACTCTATGCATGGTCCATGTTTGCAATGAAAGAATCATGACTGGATTTGATTTGTAATACTGCAACAAGGTGGAGAAATGTACCATGGGGGGAAGGCATGGGGAGGGGCTGGGAGAATCCCAAAGCTTGTGAAACTGTATCATAAAATGAAATGAGATTTTTGGAAAAAAAAAAAAGGTCTTAGATTGGTTAAAAAAAAAAAAATTAATGGCATAGCCAGAGGTCATGATTTTTATCTACAACAAGAGGTTAGAGGCCGTTGATTCAATAAACTCATGATCTTTAGAAAGAGTATGACGACTGAGGAAGAAATGCTTCCAGTCCATGTGCATGCCCTTTATTATCTATGATTAACTTCTCTGTAAATCTGGAACAATAAAAAATTATCTTCTGAAATAGTAAAGAAAAAAGCTATGCTGATATTTTAAATATTAACATATATTACATATCAACACAACAAAAATAAATACATTCCCGAAAATCATGATTCCCACTTAAAAGCTCAGGTGGCAGATACTTCCAACCATTGTCCTCAACAAATGCTAACTATATTTACTTCTGAGAAAATGTCTGTCAAATATCACATCTGAATCACAATTGGTCTGCCAATCTTTTTTTTTTTTTAATTTATTTATTTTTATTGGAAAGGCATATATACAGACAGGAGGAGAAATAGAGAAGATCTTCCATCCAATGGTTCACTTCCCAAGTAGCTGCAACGGTTGGAACTGAGCCAATCCGAAGCTGGGAGCCAGGAGCTCTTCTGGGTCTCCCTCGCAGGTGCAGGGTCCCAAGGCTTTGGGTCGTCCTCGACTGCTTTCCCAGGCCACAGGCAGGGAGTTGGATGCGAAGTGGGGCCGCCAGGATTAGAACTGGCACCCATGGGATCCCAGTGTGTGCAAGGTGAGGACTTTAACCACTACACTATCATGCTGGGCCCCTGCCAATCTTATTTTCAAGTAAAACTTGTGTTCTTGGAGCGGGCACTGTTTTGAGCTAGAAAAACCACCGCCTATGGTGTTGGCATCCCAAATGGGCACAAGTTCAAGACTCAGCTGCTCCACTTTCAACCCAGCTTCCTGGATGGAAATCCAGCTCTGTACCCACATAGGAGACCCAGATAAAACTTCTGGCTCCTGGCTTCAAATCGGTCCAGCAACAGCTATTACAGGAATTTGGGGAATGGATCATCAGACAAAAGATCTGTCTCTCCCTCGCTCTGTAATTGCCTTTCAAAGAAATACATCTTGGAAAAAAAATGGTGTTACTAAAGTGCAATAAGCTACTGCGTGCAGTATCAGCAACCCATAGCAGCTTGACAATTAAAATCCAAGGTGCTCGACTTCCAGCTCCCTGCCAAGTTGCTTGAGGATGCTGTAGAAGATGACCAAGTACCTGGGCCACTATCACCAACATGGGCTACTGAGAGTCCTAAGACTCTCGCTTTGACCAGCCCCAAGCACTGTGGCCATCTAGGGTGTAGACCAGTGGATGGAAGATCACTCTGTCATTCTGCCTTCCAAATAAATAACAAATCTTTAAAAAAAAAAAAAGTAGGGGGTACTCCACTTAAAAACTAGCTATCAAACAGTAACTGAAGCTCAGTCATACACATGCTTTCCCTCAACGCCACCATTTTCAGTATGTGACAGAATGCTTGTGAGTACTGTCTGTATCAGCAGTATGGAATATTAAAGAGATGCACAAGGGTAAAAACATGAAATTAACAGTTTCATCAAGCATATTCTGTAGTGAAAATGGTTTTTTGATGCTTTAAGCACCATGGCAGCAAAGACTACAACAAATGTCTCAGTTTGGTGACAGTGTCCAGATTTATGCCAAGCCACCAGCTAGCATTGCTGCTTCTGTACCATCTGCACAAACACCCACAGTGGAGACTCAGTGCAGTGGCACAGCCAGTTAATCCTCCATCCTGTAGTGCTGGCATCCCGTATGGGTGCCAGTGCATATTTTGGCTACTCCACTTGTACCCAGCTCCTTGCTTATGGACTAGGAAAGCAACAGAGCCTTGGGACCTTGCACCTGTGGGGGAGACCCAGAAGTTCCTGGCTCCCAGTTTTAGACTGAACCACCCAGCTCCGCCTATTGCAGCCATTTGGGGGAGTGAACCAACAGATGAAAAGCACTCTCTCCCACTCTCACTTGTTCTCTAACTCTGACTTTCAAGCAAAATAAATCTTTTTTTTTTAAAAAAAGTGGCCAGATCCAGAACGACAGCATAGGAGCTAAGTCCTTGCCTTAAACGTGCTGGAATTCCATATGAGTGCCAGTTCTAATCCTGGAAGTCCCACTTCCCATCCAACTCCCTGCCTGTGGCCTGGGAAAGCAGTCGAGGACGGCCCAAAGCCTTGGGACCCTGCACCTGTGTGGGAGACCCAGAGGAAACTCCCGGCTTCAGATTGGCTCAGCTCCAGCTGCTGCGGCCACTTGGGGAGTAAACCATTGAACGGAACCATCTTCCTCTCTCTATATCCACCTTTCCAATAAAAATAAATACATCTAAAATGGAGATCATTGTTATTTAAAACAAAAATGGCCACAGTGTGTGGACCCTTGGACCACATTTCCTGGGCTCAACTGTTACTGAGGTCAAATCCAAGCGTCATTCAGGTCACAAGGGTCATAATGTACCCTTCATGCAAAAATAAAAATTTACAAAACAAAACACATTTCATCTCTTAAAAGAAAAGGTAAGTGTTCTCTTGGCAAAAGTGTTTAAAATATATATATAACCCAAATCAGTGAATATCTCTGGGTAACAGAAATGCATCTCATGTAAAAGTGGGGAAAAATACCTTCCTGTTTCATTTTGATTTCTAATGCTGGAACTTGCCTGTTTCTGAGTTACAACCTCAGAGCAAAGTATTATTCACCTTCCTCAAAAGACTAGCGCATTCAAAAATAATTATATACCATAAGTTAGTAAGCCCAGCACGAGTGGTTGCAAGGACAGGGGCTGGCCCCGGGATACTGTACCTGCTTTCTGGTTGCGATCAATGAGAGGGAGAGTGCTGTCATCGTATGAATGACTGCTCTGGCTTCGGGAAGCATGATTCAGGTTCACCTGGAGGCACACACAAAATGCAATAAATCACTAAATGCTGAATCCACCTGTAACTTACTCCTTAAGGGGCATAAATCTCTGGGTTCCTACTGTCAAACGTAACTCTTATTTTCTGTTAACGATCTTTCTCTATCTGTTTGAAAGGGAAAGCCACAGAGAAAAAGAAGCCTGCAATAGCTGGAGCTGAGCCAGGGCAAAGTCAGGAGACCAGAACTTCACTCAGGTCTTTCAAATGGGTAAGAGACCCAAGGATCAAATGTACCAGATGAAAATCTGGTACAGTCTCGGGACACTAGCCGGAAATTGAACTGGGAGCAAAGGAACTAGGACTCAAAAACTGGCACTCTGATATGGGATGCAGGCGTCCCAAGTGGCGGTTTAACTTGCTGTGTTACCATGCTCATCCTTTTGATACAATTCATGAAGAAGCCAAGCTGTAAGAGTTGAATACTCTACATAGTAAAACAAATTGATACTATGGCTTCCATTTATGTTTCACAAAGTCATACACTAGAAGGAAAGCATCTTGGAAAATGACAAACTCTCTAAGTGTAGCACAATTGGGAACAGTCACAAAGGCCATCATCATTACTCATCACTATCAACATTCTGAGGACATTATAACCCAGAGAGTAGAGTTGCTTCAGAGGAAGAATAGAGATAATAATTTCTTTACTAACTGAAAAAAATCAAAGCCAGAATCATTACCCTAAAACCAAGAAAAACAAGGCTGTACCTGGAAGTCCGATTTCTTCCACCCTTCCTTCTCCAGTGGCTTGCGCAGTTCTTTATACCCCCAGATTGTCTGTAGCACAAGTGCTGCTGCTCGAACTTCTTTTTCTGAACGATTCCTTTTGAGGAAAGTAATACCATATAGGAACTCAGAATCTACACCTTCTAATTGGAAGGTAGGAATGTAAGTCGCAAAATAGGCCAAATAAGTTTTTTACTAAAAATCCTGTACTCTGTTGAAAACAACAAGACGGCATAGTTCGATATCATATCAGAGTAAATCATCAATTGCTGGGTCAACATTAAGACAGAAAAAGCAAGCAGCATTATTTCACAAGTAAGTAAATAAAAACCTAAGACAGCAAGGCAGGAAAGCCCCTCTGCAGCCACTCCCTTGTCTGCTCGAATTCCTCCAGCTGTGATTAAGTAAGCAGCTCACCCTGATTTGTTGATTAACACCAGCTTCTCGATGCCCTGTGTCTCTCGGAGCTTTTTGGCGGCCTCCAAGTTCTCGGCAATGACCTCATTGATGGTGTTCAAAACAGAGACTACAGTGTCTTCGGAGAAATTCCAGGAGGAATTCTGCTGCCCCCCAGGCAGATTCTTCACCAAGTTAGGAATAGCATGTTTACCTATGGGAGTAAGACATGAACAAATAACACTATTTGATGATGACAAATAACACTACAATCTTTCAGATACTCTTAACAAAAATAGAATGTTGAATACTAAAATAATTCAATATAAAAGAATCATTTTGAATTTTAAAAAAAGTAGGTAATCTGGGCTGCACCTCTAACTTATTATTTAATATAAACCCATATAAAATTACTTAATTTCCATGACCCTCAGTTTCCTTATCTGACACGCAAAGTTACTTCAAAGCTGTAAAGGTTTAAGTTTGTTCTGGTACCAAACAAGTTTTAAATCTAAATGCCAGTTTCTCCTAATACATATTTCCCCTGGATTATTTTTGTATTTTAAAAATGACTAATCTTTGCAGGAACCAGCATGGTGGTGCAGCAAGCTAATTCTCTGCCCTAAAGCACTGGCATCCCACATGGGCACTGGTTTGTGTCCTGGCTGCACCACTTGCAATCCAGCTGAGCTTATGGCCTGGAAAAGCAGCAGAGGACCCAAGTCCTTCGGACTTTGCACTCATGTGGAAGACCCAGAAGAAGCTCCTGGCTCCCAAATTCAGATCAGCTCAGTTCTGGCCACTGTAGCCGTTTAGGGAACGAACCAACAGATGCAAGACCTTTTCCATCTCTCCTTTTCCCTATATAAAATCTGTCCTTCAAATAAAAAAGGCTTTATGAAGACTCAGCAAGGGCAAAAAAGTAGCATTCTATTTTTGCAGCCCTCACTTCTTATCCTTTCAAGAACTAATGAGCTGTTATACTCACTAACCCTTGAATTCACAAGCTGTGGAGGGCTACAGTCTTGCACTCAGTTCCTTACCAATCAGCTCTTTGTTACGGGCATCCACAGCCAGGTTTCTCAGTGCTCCAGAGGCAGCTTTCACGACTCGTTCATGTTCATTGGTCAGTAGGTCAGCTATGGCAGAAAGAGCCTTCTCCTGACGCAGAGCAGACCGGATATAACGACCATACTAAAAACGCCACATGGAAAGAGGTAGAGCCAATTAAAAACAGTGGCCAACTAGTTACTTAAGTTCTCCCATGTCCAAATCCATTGTCTAAAAGATTCTCACCGTCCAGCGCCCAGCGCACAAGTTCTGAATGGCTCCAGCTGAGGCTTCTAGAATAGCAGGAGTCTTGCTTTCCTTGAGAAGGGAGATGTATATGCGTATCACCTCTGGCTGAAATAAGAGCTCATAGCCTATACAAGGAAGGGCAAGGAGGTAAAGGACACTAGTCAACGCCTACAGTCCAGCTCTGGATGCTCAGAATCTGAGATTACTGTTCTGGGTCGATGGCCTTTACCATTCATCCCCCTAAACTCTCCCATCCATTCAGGCCTGACACCATGTCTTCTTAACTATGAATCCATGCTAACAGGAGCACAGATACTCAAGTCATCACATTCAACTCCTTCTCCTTTTTCCCCGCCTCTTCCCTCCCACAGTGTACTCTGGCCCTGGTCATTCCATAGATTCTTCATTCCAAATAAATTATATTTTTAACTTGGCCCAGTCATTCTGCCCAGCTTTCCCATTATTAAGTAAAAGGGCCCATTACACACATAACATTTAACATTTTCATAACCATGGAAACTTTGTGAACTTCAGACCCACTGTACTAATGAATTAAACAGCGAGAAAGATTTCTTGTAGCACCAAGGAGTAAGCCCCAAAGATAGTAGGAGCCACTGAGGGTGACCATTAGGAACTTACCTCACTCTCAAGGAACCTGAAGCATTGCCTCAACAAGCATTCCTCTGTAATTACTGCTATCATACTAGTTTCCTAATGATTTTATTCCCAATCCTTAAGTAGAGAGACTAACAAACACATCGCCTGCAGTCTGCTGTCAGGCTCCTAGCACCACGTATCAGTGAACTATGCTTTTGAGATTTCCAGAGACAAGGAAGGAGAAGACAGTCTACCTCGAGCAGGACTGGTCCTTTTAGGGAAATCCACTGTTTCATTTACAGGCTCCTCGGGGGGTTTCTTTCCTGTGGAGACGAAAAGAGAGGAAAAATAAGAATTAAAAGCTTAAGATAGGAACATTGCAGCTGACAAATTTTTCATTCTTCAGTCAGATTCTTTGGGTCAGGGATGCATCAAAGGGGGTAGGTTCCAGTTTGTCCCAACAGGAGGCTACACAGAAACAAGGACAGAAACAGGCAGCAGCAGGTAAGCAAGAAAGACAGCCCCCATTGCTGCTGTTACCCTGAATCCTGAAAACAGGGCCTGCTGCCCAGGAACGGCATGCCAAGAACCACCAGCTCAGAAGAGCTAAGGTCTTCCTCAACTGAAATTTCCCGACATGCATCCACAAGGAAGGAAGGGTTAGGCAAGGAAATAACTAGGGAAGCTAAAACCAAAACATGCAAATTAGAAGTAGGCAAGCGGCTTAAAAGATTCCACTCACCTCTGGAGAACCACTCATCTTCCAGTGTGTCACCCAAGGTAGCAAGCAGAGAAGAGAAATCAAAGGAGAAAAATGCAGGACAAAGATGTCAATAGAGTCATGGACAAACAAGCAGGAAAGCACAGAAGAAAAGATAAACACGGGAAATACAAAGGAGGAATGGGGGAGAAGGCCGCGGATAAGTTGAGTTCTCACTGCTCAATACCCAGTCACCAATACCTAAACCACCACTACAACCACCAGAACACCACCACCACCACCACCACCAAATGAACAAAGCATACAACACAGGAGAAGCAGCACCACAGCAAAAAGACACCCTTGACCAACAGACTTCCACTGTTAGGCAAAAAAACAAGAAACCACAACTCACCTTTGCCCTTCTTGGCCCCAAAGCAGCTGGCAGCATGTGGCCCAGTATTGTTGGCAACGTTGGGAGGTGCCTCCTGATAACGCTCTGCCTGTGGGATCTCCCGGTGAACTTGATAGGACAAGTTTCGAAGGAGGCAAACACAATTCTCCACAAGCTTAGGGACACAAGACAAACGGCTCAAACAGAGAAGTGATTTGCCACCAAATACATTTTTCTATAATTCAAGTATTAAAATAGCAATCTTCAAAAATATAGCCCAATTCTTCACCCCCCAGATTTCATTAAAAGGCTATAGTTTGTGGCTGATGGAAGGTCCAACAGCATTTATTGCCTCCTCCCACTATTTGGTGCACCATGTAGAAAATGTACAATACTGGAAGATCCAAGCAGCTTTAAAACATATAGATGAATGACATTCTAAACTGTCTCGGAGCACTGTAAGTTAAGCCACTGCTAACAACACCAACATCCCATACAGGCAACACTCTGGGTCCCAGCTGTTTCACTTCTGATCCAGCTACCTGCTAAGTTGCCTGAAAAAGCAGAAGATGGTCCAAGTCTTTGAGCCCCTGCTACCCATGTGGGAGATCAGGAAGAAGTTCTGGCTCCTGGCTTCATGCTGGCCCTGCCTATTGTGGCCATATGGTAAGTGAACCAATAGATGGAAGATCTCTCTCTCTACATCTCTCCTCTCTTCCATAATTCTGACATTCAAATAAATAAAAGAGAAGAAAGAAAAGATAACAAAAGAGGAAAAAGAAAAGAAAGCATCTTCTTCTAAAATGAATGCCCACTGGAACATCACCCAAAGTCTTGAAGGACAGGTCTGCACCACATTTACTCCAAGGTTACAGTGGGTAGAACTCACTTGACGATTAACTTACCTTGCTGTCTGAATCCTTCTGTCCAATCTCAGCCTGAACAATGAAAATAAGGGCATCAACCAAGCCATCACATTCCCGAAGCTTCCGGCGAGCTTCACTCCTCTCTGAGCTTACATTCCTAAAGGGAATCCAGGAAAATATTCAAACAACCCAAATCCCAATTGTCTCTTAGCAAGCCCTTCAACATCTATAAACTTCCTCAAAACCTCCTCTAGTCATTGAAATAAATGGTGAATATCTATTGTAAGGTACTACAGTTGACAGAAATTTAATTGATAGTCCCAAACCCAGAAACTCTAATAGCCCTATAGGTGGGTTAGAGGTTAATAACAGAAACAAACAACAGTAATTCAAGATGAAATAAATGCTTCTTGATTGGAAATATAAATGAGGCATGAGGGGGTACATTTGAAAGGAGGAAAAACTATATTACATTGATAGAATATACAAATAAATTACATAAATGCAATTTGCATGCGGGGTAAATTTCAAAGAAGGAGATTATACTGCATTTATAACATACACAAAGAAGAAATCAGGAAAACATACCAAAAAAAAAAAGGCATTTGCATGTAGCCTACAAATCATAAGTAAGGAAAAAAAAGGCACTGGCAGATGTAAGAAATACTTTCTGGGCTCAGCATGGTACCCTAGCAGCTGATGTTCTCAACTTGCACACACTGGGATCCCATATGGGCGCCAGTTCTAATCCCAGCAGCCCCACATCCCATCCAGCTCCCTGTATGTGGTCTGGGAAAGCAGTTGAGGATGACCCAAAGCCTTGGGTCCTTGCACCCACGTGGGAGACCTGGAGGAAGCTCATGGCTGCTGGCTTCGGATCGGCTCAGCCCCAACCATTGTAGTCACTTGGAGAGTGAATCATCAGAAGATCTTCCTCTCTGTCTCTCCTCCTCTCTGTATATCTGGCTTTCCAATTAAAAAAGAAAGAAAGAAATATTTCCTTCCTTATCCATACCCCTCCCTCCTAATACTGTACTCCTTTTGTTGCATTTATCACAGTCTGACACAAAATATAGCCAAGAACAGGGACAGACACATAAGCCCAGGCCCAGTCAGGCACCTTGTGTGGTAGGTCCCGACACATTTTGATCAAATGAGATGAAGTCCAGAAGTGGCACAAAAGAATGAGGTATAGTAAATAGCAATCAATTGATATAAGCAGATGTGTTGAATGTGTAACAACTCAGCAGCAGCAAACAAGGACAGGATGGAAATACAATACATTATGCAAATATGAATGGAGGTTAAACAACAGGCTAATGAGTCTTTATTTTTGAAGAAATTTAAGTTCATCTTCCAAAACTCAATCTGCACAATCAAAGCCACTACCATTACCTAAGGCAGCCAGCTGTGTTGGTGAGCACCGACTCCCACTCAATATGGCGCGGTTTACAATCTTCGTTAGGTTCTCTTTCCCAACCAGAATGTGGGATGATTACTTCATCTGTCAAAGCGTGCAGTGCATGGTCCACAATCTCCATTTTGATTGAGTCATGGGATGAAAGATTCCACAGGGTTCCTAGCAGGAACACAAAAGCACATAAATATCAAAGAAAATGCCCTGTTTCATCACTTCCCAGTCTTTCCCAATGACCAAGTACCCTGTAGTAACATTTGAGCTTCTGTCTGTGGCCCATACAAACATATATTTCATGAAATAAACGTTTCATAAAACAATACTATCTTGTCTATCTTTCCCACAGTTTCACAGTCTGAGCACTAGACATTTCTGGACAGATAATTCTTTCTTGTGGCCACCTGCTCTTTCTGCTGCTGGATTCTTCACTGGCATCCCTGGCTTTTACCCACTGGACGACTGAGGTAGTCTCTACTGCTACTGTCAAATTATGACACCCCAAAATCTGCTGACATTACGCATGTCCTGGGAAGGCAAAAACCACCATAAACTTAAAACCAATGGTCCTTGCCATTTTTCTTTCCTTCTCTTGGAATGCTACTTATAATTCACAAAATCATGTTCAATTCATAATAACAAATCACACCTCACAACATGAAAAATCACTGTTCTAATTAAAGCAAGTACCAAAAGCTCAAATGTTCACATGGGCCAGGCAAGTAAGTCAAGAGAAACAGATATTTTTATTTGAGGATAGGACAGAGATCAACTATCCAATGGCTAACTCCCCAGATGCCCACAAATGGTGGAGGTTGGCCAAGGACAAAGCTGGGAGCCAGGAACTCAATGCAGGTGCCCCACCCAGGTGGCAGGAAGCCAGTCACCCGCGTTATCATCACTGCCTGCAGGATTCTGCATCAGCTGGGAGCTGGAGCCAGCGCTGCGGCCAGGAACCTAACCCAGGCTTAATCACTAGCCTGCATTCCTACCCCCTGCACACTCTGTCTTAATTACCAGATCATGGATTTTAAAACCTGACATTTAGCTTCCACATGGGGAGAACGTCCTATGTGGCAGCAGTCAGTCACAGAGAACAGAGCACGTTATCAATTATGGTAAAATGGAGAGCACTTGCTCCAAAATCAGCTCAGAATAAATGAATAATGCCAGGCTGGCAAACAGCCCCATTCTTAACACCACCACCTGCTCAATGGATGCCAGAATCTGGAGCGGTAAGTGAAATCTTTTGAATACTAACATTAGCAAATTCTAAAATTCAAAAACCCTGATGCAGACACATTTGTAAATTGAATCTGATCCAGTTCACAACTTTCATTAACGTTTACCCTCCAGCTCTCAAAATCTTTATACAGTTACAGTGACCCTGAGGTAGCAATTTTCCTTACCAGTAATGACTTCAGTAAGGTCCATGTCACGAGCCTTTCGGAGCAATCGCACAAGGGCAGGGACACCATCACAGTTTTTTATAGCGATTTTGTTATCTTGGTCACGGCCAAAAGAGATATTCTTCAGCGCTCCACAGGCTCCAAGGTGTACCTCCTTTTTCGGGTGGTCTAACAACCCCACTAGCACTGGGATGCCCTTGAGTCTCCGCACGTCGGTCTTCACCTTGTCGTTGCGGTAGCATAAGTGTTGCAAGTATGCAGCTGCGTTGGATTTGACAGCATCCAGGCGAAATCCTAGCATGGCGATCACCTCGGGCAACTCTGGCTGTCTCCAATTAGCAGGGGGTGGCCCTCCCTTGCGCAAGCTATCCAAGCTTGCCAAGCTTCCTCGCTCGTGCTGGGCCAAAGGAGCCCAATAGTATTGATCCGAAGGCACCTCCTCACCAATCATATCTTCATAGCTCCTGCAAAGTTTTGGAAGAATCAAGAGAAAAAAAACATACATCAAATCTAGATTCCTGAAACACTCCATGAACCTTTACCTCCAAGAAAACATAAAGCTGAATTACACTGCATAAATGACATCCTGATCAAATTCCTTTAGAGGGACAAGAAAAATTAAGGTAATTTCAAATGTACCTGTAATTGGTTTAAAGCTACCTTCTTTTGTTCTATGAAGTTTGGTGGCTCAAATCCTTAAAAGGTATTTAGTAAAGCTGATTGCAGAGAAAGAACCAAATCCTGGTAATTACCATTTACTTTTCAACAGCTACTACCTTCTCTAGATAGATTAAAATAAAGCTTCCTGAGTGAGCAGTTGTGGTAGTGCAGGTTGGGTTGCCACCTATGGTACCAACAACCAATACAGGTCCTGCTTCAAGTCTCAGCTACTCCACTTCTGATTCAGCTAATAGCAGCAGGTCCAAGTGTTTGGGCCCCTGCACCCATATTAAAGACCTAGATGGAGTTCCTGACTTCTGGCTTTGGCTTGGCATGACCCAGCTCCAGCCATTTCAGCCATTGGGGAGTGAACCAGCAGATGAAAGATCAATTAGGTCTAGCACAATGGCTTTGTGGTTTAAACCTTTGCCTTGCACGCACGCGCTGGGATCCCATACGGGTGCCAGTTCTCCACTTCCCTTCCAGCTCCCTGGTTGTGGCCTAGGAAAACAGTAAAAGATGGGCCTTAGGACCTTCCACTCGTGTGGGAGACCTGGTAGAAAAACCTGGCTCCTAGCTTCAGACAGGCTCAGCTCTGACCATTGCAGCCACTGGTAAATCTGACTTTCCAATAAAAATAAATAAATCTTTAAAAAAAAAAAAAAGGCCCATCTTTGAGTCTGACAAGGTATACACTTGAACATAAATTTTCACAGTTCAGCCCAATTTCTTATCTACTACTCAACAAATATTTGCCATGACTTTCACCTTCCATTTTTCTAAAGGCAATCTTTTCAACTGTATGGAAATATTACATGTAGGATGCCTAGCCAATAAGAACAAAGACAAAGCAACGGAAGGTGAGGGATTTTTAAACCAGTCTTTGCTTCAGTACTACCAACCACCACTAGAGGGTGAGTCTATCACACTATTATTTATTCATAAGCACCAGGAAGAAGGAATCCATCCCGTTCTCAGTGAGTTCATCTCCGCAGCGCCACAGGAGAAGCTACTGTATGGAACTCTACAGATAAGACAGGTGTTTGTTCCACAAACCACTCCTAGTGCCACCAGTGACTCAAACAGGCAAAGCATTTATTTAAAAAGTAATATTAAAATCAACCAGTGTTATTCTAAAATAACATTAAAACAAAATACAGGTTTTATGGCTAAGTCCTGAAACAGGTTGGGTTTGTTTCTCCATACAAGAAAAAAGAATCAAAGGATCAGGAAAAGGTTAACATGGAATCTTTATCAGTGGATCTTGTGCTTTACTGGGTTCTTCAAGCTCTGTTCTGAGCACCTATTCCTTTTGTTATTATTTTAATATAAACATTACAAAAGCAATTACCATTCCAGATTTTGGTCACTTGGGAGACTTCTGTCTTTCATGTCCTTCTAATGTAGACAATAGATGAGGACTTTTTTTTTTCATTGTTGTATAAATAACAAAGCTGTATTCAGAAAGATCAAATGACTTGCTTAAGGGCACATAGCTAGTGGCTGAGGAACAACTAGAATCAAGATAATCACTGCTTTCTTTTGAGTTTGACCTTGTATTACTCTTCTAGGGCTGGAACAGGAAGCAGCAAATGTACTTGATGGTCAACAGGTTTAAGTCCAATGCAACAGTGGAACAGTTCCAAGAACCAGGCCCCAACCCTCTCTATGTCGACTACTATAGGAGGAAAAAAAAAGACCTAACCACGCATACTCAGTTGGGTCCAATTATACTTTACTAATGAGGAAGTCAGGAAAAGCAGACTTACACTGGAGCCAACACCCTGGGCAGACAGCTTCAGTGATGGGTGTTATTCACCACTGCTCCAGGTTGCACCAGCTGAAGTCTGGTACCCCTCCAGGAATAAAAGGTGAGTCACATGGGAGTTGGATTAGCTATCCAAGACACCTGAAAGGTGAGTGACTCAGTCTTAGATAATAGGGCTTCTACCCCTGTACCCACCCCAGTTCAGTATTAGCTAATCCTACCTAGTATATGAGAAAAAAACACAAAGCCATTTACTCTAAAGGTCCTGACCCCACATACATAAAACACATAAAACACAGCCATCATTAATTCTAAAGCAGGGTTTATAGCTCACAAACCAAATTTATCTTTATATGAACTCCAGAGATAGAGAATGGTTTTATTGTTTTTTTTAAAAAAGATTTTTTATTTTTATTGCAAAGTCAGATACACAGAGGAGGAGAAACAAAGATCCTCCATCCAGTGATTCGCTCCCCAAGTGACCACAACAGCCGGTACTACACTGATCCAAAGCCAGAAGCCAGGAGCTTCTCCAGGTCGCCCGCGCGGGTGCAGGGTTCCAAGGCTTTGGGCCGTCCTCTACTGCCTTCCCAGGCCATAAGCAGGGAGCTGGATAGGAAGTGGAGCTGCCAGGATTAGAATCGGCAACCACATGGGATCCCGGCATGTTCAAGGCGAGGGCTTCAGTCGCCAGGTCACCACGCTGGGCCCGGTTTTATTACTTTTAAATAATAAAAATAATTTTATTTTTTTATAGTGGCTAAATCCTCGTCCTGCATGTACCAGGATCCCATATGGGTGTCAGTTAGTGTGCTGGCTGCTCCACTTCCCATCCAGCTCCCTGCTAGTGGACTGGGAAAGCAGTTGAGGATGGCCTAAAGCCTTGGGAGTCTGCACCCACTAGGGAGACCTGTAAAGAAGTTCCTGGCTCCTGGCTTCGGGTCAACTCAGCTCCAGCTGTTGCGGCCACTTGGGGAGTAAACCAACAGATGGAAGATCTTTCTAACTCTCCTTCTATCTGTAAATCTGACTTTCCAATAAAAATAATAAATACAAAAAAAAAGGAAAAATTGATAAGGATTATTACATGAGGCCCATAAAGCCTAAAACAGATCCTTTAATGAAAATCTGCCAAACCCCTTCCAAAGTATTCTTCTCAAGGCAACATCTATCAATCTGCCTTTTCACACCACAAAAGAATACCTAAGAACTGCTCGGTGGCCTATCCAGTGCTGGTAACATAACTCTCCATGAATAGCACCCATTTCATTTTATGCTCATGTGTAAGAACCTAAGCACCAAGTTCACAGGGCCCATATGAGGTCAAGGTCCATTTTTAACACTAGATTAGAACCACCATGAGAAATGTTACATACACCTTTCTCCCTTCTAGTTCTGAAAACCTAAAACTCGACTCCAACCAAGAGCTGAAGAAACGGCTGGAACCAAGAGAGAGTATTCCCTGGGCCCAGGCAACAGGCTTCTCTTTTGTGGTACCACCATGAAGAGTCATATCTTAGCCAGAAAGAACAGAAACTGTGGGGTAGAATCAAAGTTCATTCTTTAGGACACAGACCAGGAACCACCACAATCATTTTCTACAATCAGGAAGCATGACTTTGATAATGAAAAGACAATAACAAGTCAAGGTGCAGTGAAGTCGGAAGCACTTCTCACCAAACAGGCAGGTGGGAGGGGAATCGGAGGGGAGACAAAAGAAGGAGCCAAAAGTGTACCGATCCACCAAAGATGGAGAAGGAAACACCCTTGTTTGGGAAACATCTTTACCCTCCTCTAATCTTGCCTACCTGAGACGTCGGCGAGGGTCAGAGGGTGTTGCAGTCCGACGGGCAGTGCCGTAATCGGACATCAGGCCGTAATCCAGGTCTTCATAGCCCATGCTTCGCTGGTCATCCTCTAGCCCATAAGGTTCTGGATGAAAGCGGTGCAGATCCACACTGCTCCCACCCACCCGAACCTGAGGCTGGGGCCCATACACATCCTGTCTACTTGGCGCCCGGTAGCCTTCCATGGTGGGCCTATACCGCTCCTCAATACGGGTCACCCGGGACAGACTGCCATAGTTGTCACCACCACCCGGATACCCATCTTCATAGTGGCGGCTATATCCATCAGGAGGGTAATGGAAGTTCCTGGGAAGGGTAGCAGTGCCTGCTTGGCCCACGTAGGGACCAGGGCCACCATTGCCATTCTTGCGGAAGTCACGACCCAAAGTCTGGATATAGTTGTTAGACACTGATGCAGCATCCACAGGCATCCCATCTGGCCCCACGGGGACTGGCTGTACAGTTCGTGTTGTCACGGTCTTCACGACTTTCTTGACCTTCAAAAAGAAGCAGGAAAAACAAATGAAGTAAATAGTAAGCTTGAATCCTAGACTGCCCTAAAGAAAGACACAAATCCCATCTCTAGATCACATTACACAGAAATTTCTCAGCCTATCATCCACCTTTCTTTCTTTCATTCCAATTTACAGAAAGTTTCCAAGCAGGAAAATGAACCTGGCAGTAACAACACCTACAAAGGAAGCGAAATATTGACCTTGTTTCATTCTCATTCTCACATTCTCTCTCTCTCATATATATATTCCATTAGGTTTTCCTCATCTCTTCTCTGTCTGGTTAGAGGTCACCTGCTATCATTGGCACGCTCCTTCATCCACCCTAAAGATGTGCTAACCCGACCCCCAACAGAGACCACAGGAAGACATCTCCTGTCCTCCAAGACCTTATGCTTACTGTGGTCTCTGTGCGCCGAGTGGTCCCATCATCTGAGGTCTCCACGGAGACAACAGACATGGCTCCTTCAGGGTCCTCCTCAGTGTAGGTCTCCACAATCTGCCCCGGCTCCTGCATCCTGGGGATTGTGCTATACAGAAGGTGACTGTGATCCTACGTGGAAAAGAGAAAAATGGAAGAAGTTACTATTATTAAGCCACATGTACCAACAATCCATCCTAATAAGCAGTGGTCCTGGAGCCGGGGACTCTTCGTCTCATGCATTTTTCCATAGCCCGTTGGGTTTGCAGAGATGCAGCTGCCATCTTTCAAACTTGTACAAAAGGACAGTAGGGGGTGACTGTTGTGGTACGCAGGTTAAGCTGCCACTGACACATCTGCATCCCATGTCACAGTGCCTAGTTCAAGCCCCTGCTACTACTCTATGCTTCTGACCCAGCTTGCTGCTAACATGCCTGGGAGACAACAGAGGATTCAAGTGCCTGGATTCTTGTCACCCACAGGGGAGACCCAGCTGGAGCTACTGGCTTCTGGCTTTGGCCTAGCCCAGCCCCCACTGTTGCCAGCATTTCGGGAGTGAACCAGTAAATGGAACCTTTTTCTTTTTTTCTATTTTACCCTCCTCTGCCTTTCAAATAAATAATTGATCTTATAAGAACAAACAGTATATGTAACTTTCCAGGTAAAGTCATTTAAGAAACATGAAATGAGTTAACTTCAGCCACACTGACATCCCAGTGACTGAGAAAACAGATTTAGCTTTCCAGTTCTGGCCATCTAAGTGACATGAGCTGTGTTCACTACACTTAGATCTACATCTAGTTGACCCTTTAAAAGAGCAGCTCACACAAACTTTTAAGATAAATCATCAGCAAGTGTTTCAGGTAGTAGTGGTTAAGATATTGGCTCAACTGGCTAATCCTCGCCTTGCAAGTGCTGGCAGCCCATATGGGTGCCAATTCATGTCCTGGCTGCTCTACTTCCCAACAAGCTCCCTCCCTGGAAAACCTGTCAAGGATGGCCCAAAGCCTTGGGACCCTGCAACCAGTTGGGAGACACAGAAGAGGTTCCTGACTCCTGGCTTCAGACTCAGCGCCAGGTGTTGCAGCCATTTGGAGAGTAAACCAATGGCTGGAAGATCTTTCTCTTTGTCTCCATAAATCTGCCCTTCAAAAAAAAGGGGAGCGGGGGATGTGCACATTCCTTATCAGAAGGCCAGCCTGGATTCACATTCCAGCTGTTTCCCTTTCCCGTATCTGGCTAACGCACAGCCTAGAGGCAGGAGATGCTGCATGAGGCACTCGGTCCCTGCCATCCAAACAGGAGACACGAGTTCCTGCTGCTAGCCTCAGCCTAAGCAAACCCCAGTTGTTATGCACATCCGGGGAGTGAACTAGCACACAGAAGATCTCTGTCTCTATGTTTGTCTCTGTCTTCAAAATAAGTAAAATTAAAATTAGAAAAAAAGAGAACCCAGAAAACCCCCTTAAGAGCTTCCTTTGACTTGTTCTATGCTAACCTCCAACTTAGCAAGGGTTTTCTGCAACAGAACCATTTTCTCTTTCGATAAGGAATGTCAAACCTAGAGATCAAATAGGGGGGTGGAAAGGATGATAATAAAATCCAAAGGTCATATATAGCTTACACTTCCAGTTTCTTATTTCCCTAAGTGAAATTAACTCATCAGAAGCTGCTTACAGTGTACCAGGCATTTCACAAGACAACCGTGTGTTCGTCAAGGATAAGGAAGTTAAACCTAAAGCCAAAGGAATGACATGGGGGTCCTCTGAGTTTCAAATCTGAAAATTTCTCTTAGTGAAGGTCAGCATTGCCCACAAACTGGCCATTCTGAAATACAGCCCACAAGAAGACAGTTTATTTCGTGTCCTTCTTTTGCTCCATGAAACACAAATATCTTTTTTTTTTTCCCCCAAACAGGAAAAGGGTTTTCAAGAAGATATTTGTGGCCTAGAATCCTTGGGATGGTACTCAGAAAGAAGCATATCACTCCAGGTCTTAGCATTTGGCTCACAGTGGCAGTCAGGCCAAGAATTCTGGTGGGCTTGTAGAAAAAATGACTGTAAGCTCCACCAGGAGACAAAGAAGGTTTTGGGTCAGTTTTGTTTACTGATACATCCCTAATGCCTGGAGCAGTGCTTGGCACATAACAGACAACAACTAATTGCCAAATAAATAGCAGAGACTCAGATAAGCTTCTCTGCAGGTAACCTTGTGGAAAGCCATGAGAATACATAACAAAAGTTGGAAAGGTTATATTGGGGGGTTTTCCAAAAGCTTTCTGTATTATTCCATGGATATTCATGCTATAATACTACTGGAAACTCCCCCACTGCAGGCATCTTTAAAAGAAAAGAAAAGAAAAAAGAAAAGAAAAGAAAAGAAAAGAAAAGAAAAGAAAAGAAAAGAAAAGAAAAGAAAAGAAAAGAAAAGAAAAGATATGAGTCCTCCTTTCCTAGCACGAGAAAACAGATACCCCAACACTCCCAAAACTGTATCAGCAGTGACTGGAGCAGTATTCCAAAATACCAACACTGAGGGCCCTGCGCGATGGCGCAAGTGGTTAAGGTCCTCAACCTTGCACGCCCGGGATCCCATATGGGCACCGGTTCTAATCCCGGCAGCCCTGCTTCCCATCCAGCTCCCCGCCTGTGGCCCGGGAAAGCAGTCGAGGACGAGGACGGCCCAAAGCCTTGGGAACCTGCAGCCGCGTGGGAGACCCGGAAGAGGCTCCTGGCTTCAGATCGGCATAGCATCGGCCATTACGCTCACTTGGGGAGTGAATCAGCAGACGGAAGATCTTCCTCTCTGTCTCTCCTCTCTGTATATACGCCTTTCCAATAAAAATTAAAAAAAAAAAAATACCAACACTGAGTTGTTCTGTCCTGAGCATCATGAATTATTTTAATGATAATATGGCACACAAAAACAGACGTGCCTCCGTTTCTTAATACAGTGAGATCCAGCCACCTCAAGAGACTCTTCCCCTGCCCCTTCCATTACAGAGTGTAATGCTACAGGGAAAGGAAGTTAAACATTACTTTCAGGAAGAAGGAAGGGTGTGGTTTCATAGCTGGGCAGAAGTTAAAAATACAAGCAAGAAAGGAGAAACCATGTATTGTATGCTGGAATTCCCCACCAGCTCCAAGCCGAGCAGTCCTCCTCTCCCCTTTCAATACACTGACCTCATCCCTAGCTTTATCTGCCTGCAATTCACCACAAAACATCTTAGCAGGAGACGTCTTCACTACCTTAAACAATAATCGATAAAAAAAGACTAAGGAGAAAAACCACTATTCCAGATACCACTCAGAGATCAGAGGGATCTCAAGATGTAACACCTCCCGCCACACACTCACACACACACACACACACACTCACACACACACACACACACACACACACACACTCACACGCACACACACACACTCACACGCACACACACTCACACACACACAGGGACAGATTACATACATTACCGTCAGATCAGACTAGAAAACCACTGGAAACACCTACTTCTCATTGCCAACACCAGCTCTCCAGGTACATCACACAGTTGCCAACCCAGAGACCACTGGCTCCTGCGGTTCTCAGCACGATGATCTCTCTCCAACTCTAACCAACAGAATGAACAACGATCCCTCCCTCCAGGATATAATTCACTGAACCACCAAAAAGAGCACAAGGGACCATAAGGAGCAGGAACACACAATTTATAGACACTGCCACACCTTCTGAGAACGGACTGTGCCCTGCAAGAGACTCAACTGGAGCTAAGAGCAGAAGCCCAGCTTCCAATTACTAAACAGGCATTTATTTTGTTGAGCTTTTGATACCAAGAAACAAAGAAAAAAATCAAAGAAAACAAGCAATCTGAGTATAGCTCCAAACTATATACACTATCTACAATTACAGTGCACAGTCTCCTGTGCAATTACAGGAACTGCATCTCAACCCAGAAAATTCACTCAATGAAGCACAAAAGGAGCATTCCTCGTCTCTTTATTCAGTATTTATTACCCCTTGGAAAGAGTAGGCAGCATGGGCACTAGACAGCCCATCACCAAGAGGAACCATAGCCTTGCTGTGACCAGGACAAACTCCTACCTGCAGATCTGATGGAGAGAGGGGTTACCTGATGCCGGCGGGTGAGAGTGCCGTTGGCCATGAGTGGGCTGGCATCTTGCGGCGAGACCCGGACGCGTTCCAGTTGCGCCGAGACGTGGCGCCGTTCTTCCTCCAGCGCCCGGGTCAGCTTCTCAAACTGAGCCTCTTGCTCCTTCACAGAGGCCAAGATGCTGGCGGTCGACTCCACCTCTGAGTCATCCATGAAGGTAAGGGGCAGAGCCGCCACAGAGCAGGGTAAAAGGGAAGGTGGATCACAGAGGGAGGAGAAAGGAGGGAGAGGCCTCCCTCACTTCACACTATTGGGGAAGGGCAAGAGAAAGGAGAGAAAAGGTCACAGGTCAGAGAAGACAGATGAATGATTAAACCCAGAGCCAAAGATGCCCTCTTGCAGTTTTATTGCAATGCAGGAAGCAAGCCACCACCAAGCCTGGGAGCCCATCACCAGTAAACACCTTTGCCTGTTAACCTCCTCCATATCCCACCAGAAGCGACTGAACAAGGGGCAACCAGACAAGAGTCTGCACTGCACTGCTGGTAGGACAGGGAGAAAGTGCCTCAGTGCTGTGGTCAGAACATGCAACTAGGTTAGTTTTCCCTAAAACATTTTGCTGCTGGGTGCGGCATGATGGCCCAGTGGCTAACCCCTCGCCTTGTACATGCCAGGATCCCATGAATGCTGGTTCATGTTCCAGCTGTTTCACTTCCCATCTACCTCCCTGCTAGTGCCCTGGGAAAGCAGTGGAGGACAGTCCAAAGCCTGGGGACCCTGCACCTGCGTGGGAGACCTGGAAGAGGCCTCTGGCTCCAGATAGGCTCAGCTCAGCCACTGCGGTCACTTGGAGAGTGAACCAGTAGATGGAAGATCTTTCTGTCTCTCCTTCACTTTGTAGATCTGATGTTCCTCAATAAAAATAAATCTTTTTTTTTTTTTAATTGTTTTGCTGCTGTCATCCCAGTGAAAGCTGTAAGTCCGTGGTACAGAAAAGCCCTCATTGTCCTGCAAGGACAAGCCACTTCTAGAGACAATGGAGCAGGACAGAATGTCTCCCAAACCTGAACACTGAAACTGCTGCACACAGGTAAAATACAGTAAAATAAAATGTCATGAAAGAAATGGAAGAAGCAAAAAACTCCTCACCATCAAGGAAGGGCATAAGATTACAGCCTCCGTGTTTACCAGTTATGAAGCAGCCTTTCTACTTCCTGAAGCTGCCCTAAGTGCCACCATGAATGGAGAACGAACAGCAGAACCACAGAAAGCTCATTACCTGTAAAACAGCACTATTTCTGAGGATCTTCACCTCTTTGAAAAAAGGAAAAAAAATCACTAACCTCAAATTCTGAAATTTTATCTTGAAGTAGCTCACATCCTACCTCAAGATATCAATACTTTTTTTTTCTTTTAAAGATTTATTTACTATTGTTGCAAAGTCAGATATACAGAGAGGAGGAGAAAGAAGATTCACTCCCCAAGTGGCCACAATGGCCGGTGCTGTGCCAATCTGGAGCCAGGAGCCAGGAACTTCCTCCAGGTCTCCCATGTGGGTACAGAATCTTCCAAGGTTTTGGGCCGTCCTTGACTGCCTTCCCAGGCCACAAGCAGGGAGCTGGATGGGAAATGGAGCTGCCAGGATTAGAACTGGCACCCATATGGGATCCTGGCATATGTGAGGCGAGGACTTTGGCTGCCATCGCACCATGCCAGGCCCCAGATATCAATACCTTTAACTTCCCACATCTCGATAACCATGCAGAAAGTCCTAAATAAACTTCATACCCCTTAACTTGTTCCAAATCAGCGTAAACATCTTGAGGGTTATTTATGACATTTACATAGCAAATAACAGGTAAGTAGAAATGAAGTTTCCCATACTCTTATCAAACAAGTTGACTAGTAAATGAATAGGCATTAAAGTGACACCATTGGACTTTATGAGTTTTTCTCTTACAGTTACAGATTTTATATCAAATCCAAAAGTACACTTTTAGGAGGAAGGTTTTAAAATAAATCTTCTCTTGTATTTCCCACCTGTTTATCAATCCTTAAGAAAAAAAAAGTCAATTAAAAAGATTTTCATTCTTAATAAACACATTTCCATACACACCTGTTAAGAGGTCGTAATTGATTGACTTAACACAGAGAACTGCCCAGTCTAGATTCAAAACAATCATGGAAGAAGCATCCCAGCCACCACAGCAAGGAGGAAGCAGGAAGGAGAGAGCTGTAGAAATATTGGGAAGAAAAATGAGAATGAGAGGAAAATAAAATACACCCAATCCATTAAAAAAAAAAAAATCCCAGAGGAGCAAGGGTAGGTATTAAAATGAAAGGGAAGCAGTTCAATTCACAATAGCTAAGATATGAAATCAACCCAGATGTCCATCAAATGGTGACCAGATAAAGCAAATGCAGTACATACACACTATGAAATATAATTCAAGATAATACGATTCAAGAAGAAAACCGTGTTTCAACAAAATGGGTGCACCTAGAAACCATTATGCTGACTGAAATAACCCAGGCTCAAAACAACAATACCCTGTTGTCTGAGAGGTAGCAAAACACATATAACACACAAAAGAAAACAGGAATGACACGGTCACTGTGGAACAGGACTTGTTTTCAGCCCATGTGGTCTACCTACACTTTGCTTGTTGAATATTATTATTAGTGACAAATCAAGTCCATGAGTCCAGAACAGATTAAAATTATGTCTGTAAACACTGACAGAGGGGAGGGGAGGCGGCATATCAGGGGAGCAGGGAAGTGAGGGAAGTGTGGCCCTATTGCTACTACACCAATGGGATACACAAACTCTGTTTCCTTTGTACTAATAAAAAAAATTTAAAGACCAAATTAAAATATGAATTAGTTACTTAGTTGACAAATGCCCTATGGACACTGCTGAGTTCATATGCCTGGCCCCTAGATGTAGTTTTCATTAACTCTTTTTTTTTTTTTTTTTTGAAAGATTTATTTTTATTGGAGCGTCAGATATACAGGGAGGAGGAGAGACAGAGAGGAAGATCTTCCATCCGCTGATTCATTCAAGTGGCCACAGCGGCCGGAGCTGAGCCGATCTGAAGCCAGGAGCTTGGAGCCTCTTCCCACAGCAGGGTCCCAAGGCTTTGGGCCATCCTCGACTGCTTTCCCAAGCCACAGGCAGGGAATTGGATGCGAAGCAGGCGTGCTACCACACCAGGCTCTAAAACTTAAGATTCTACAGCTAAGTTGGAGGTTCTCTGACTTTTATAGAGATACAAACAAGTAACAACACAGCTGGAAGTCCATTTACCTCCTGTTCCCAGTGACCAAGTTACAGAGAGAAGGTTGCTGTCAGAATGCCCTCCCCCCTCCTTTCCATCCCTGAGGCAGGAACCTCCAAGCCCAGTCCCAGCATGCCCACAAAGACATTGAGAAACCAGTGCAATAGTCACAGTGTTGAAGACAAGTGGGGACTGGCCCAGGCTGAGCCTTCGCTTCCCTTGCCTTTCCCACGCTCCCCAGAGCCTCACCAGGCACCAAAGCTTGGGCCTGTTCTGCCTTACAGCATATACAGCACTCAGCAAGCAAAAGTACTTACAGGAAACTGATTAAACAGATGCCCAATAAATTTCTGAACTAGCTGATTCTTTAAGTCCAAGTGTGTGGTATCCCTCCCCCTAAACACCTCCTCCCCCAGCACTAGGCTCCTGCATCATTTATCCATCAACTCCTGTCATGCCTTGTGGTGCAAATCCTATTGCTACTTTCTCACCTTCCCATCCTACATTCCAACAGGCCACTCAGAGGTCTGTAGTAAGTATTCCTGCGGCCAGCTCAGGCAGGCCGATTCTCTGCCAGCATCCCTTAGGCGCGCCAGCGTATGTCCCAGCTGTTCAAATCTGTTTTTTGATTTGTAAAATATTTTACTTATTCTTATTGGAAATGCATATTTACAGAGAGAAGGAGAGACAAACAGACCATTTTCCATCCCGCTGGTACATTCTCCCCCAAGCAGTCCCAACGGCCGTAGCTGAGCTGATCCGAAGCTAGGAGGCAGAGGCTTCTTCCAGATCTCCCACATGGGTTCAGGGTCCCAAGGCTTTAAGCCATCCTCTACTGCTTTCCCAGACCAGATGCAGGGAACTGAATGGGAAGTGGAGCAGCCAGGACACAAGCCAGTGCCCATATGGGATCCTAGAGCATACAGCCAAGGATTTAGCTACTAGGCTATTGAACCAGGCCCAAAACAAATAAATCTTTTAAAAATAAATAAATCTCTTCTTAAAAAAAAGTATCCTTATATGTTTATAAACGGGAGGGTGAAGACATTGTGTCACAGTGGCTAAGCCTTACCTCTCAAAAATGGCATCTCCTATCAGAGTGCTGGTTCTAGACTTGGCTACACTTCCAATCCAGCTTGCTGCCGATTTGCCCGGAAAGGTAGCAGAGGATGTGCCAAACACTTGAGTCCCTGGAACCTATGTAGAAGACTCTGGCAGGGTCTCGGGGTTCAGGCTTCTGGCTTTGGCAACGCCCAGGCCTGGCTATTTTGGCCACCTGGGGAGTGAAACCAATGACAGAAGGTCTATCTCCCTCTTCTCCTCCCTGTGTGTGTATGTCACTGTCTTTCAAATACGTAATAAATGAACCTTAAAATAAGTTCCTCCTTCATCCCCGTTTCCTCATTCTGCATACCTGCCCTTCCCTATGATGAACAATGACCTTTGAAGCCCCACACTGAGAGGATTTTGAACTCAAAATTCTGGTTCTGAACAGGCTGGCAGTGCAGCCATCACTGCAGCAGGCTCTGCCCTGTAATCTTCCTCCTCTAATAAAATCGCCGACTATCACTACCATGCGCATGCGTGCACTCACCGCCTATGCAGAGACTGGGCCCCAGTGGCCACTCCCTGCACCTTTAACTTCAATTCGACAAAGAGGGTTAGGAAAAAATGGAGGGGAAAAGACCAGGGTACAGACAGTAATTTGAGAAACATCAGCTTCCTCCATCTTCGTGGTTTTAAGCTCACCACGTGGCACTAACTTGGAGCAGAAGACATACTTCAACAGAAAGCCAAGATCTGACTCTTTGGGCAGAAGAAGCTGTCGCAGTTAAATCCCTGCTGTGTTCTTTTCTGAAAGGGGCCAAAACCACGAGCCCAGTCTAACTCAGAGCTGCTCTAAAGATCAGGTGAGATAATGCATGCTATACAAATATGAGGTATTACGTTATTCCAAGAGTTAATTTCTATCTTCCAAATACATTACTTCATGGTAATGTCTCAGCCTCAAACTATCTTGTGAATTAGTACATGAAATTACCTGAATCAAGAACATATCTGGGTTCTAAGGAGTGGATGAGCTGGTTTCCCTACTTCAACACTACTTACTAGGCGGTCCCACCTAGACCAGTGTTTCTGGGACAGAGGTAGTTTTTCTAGTACATGGTAGTCATCATAGCACTACACATCTGATACAGCAAGGTCTTCATTCCTCAGAGGCCTTCACAGTTTAATAAGAAAGGAAATCTGAAAAGAACTGAAAAGTACTAAATCATTTATTATTTCTGGCAGTCCTTGCAAACAAGCCAGGAAGAAATCCTTGCAAAACAAGGAAGGAAGCTATGGGCAAATGAGAAAACAGACCAATCGGTGTTGAACTGCTGAAGGACTCAGTCAATACAAGTTCTACATTTAAATAGGTCTATGCTTGATGCTCTACACAGGCCTTGTGGTCAAGTTCAAAAACAAGTGAGGTTTAAGTATAAGAATGATCCAGCCTCCCTTCCCTGCAATCTTTTTGTTTCAGGTTTATTTATGTAAAAGTTAGAATTAAAGAAACAAAGAGAGCTATCTTCCATGCACTGGTCAGCTCCCCAGATGGCCGCAATGGGCAGTGCTGAACCAGGCCAAAGTCAAGAGCCAGGGACTTCATCCGGATCTCCCACTTGGATGCAGGTACTCAAACACCTGGGCCATCTTCTTCTGCTTTTACCAAGCCATTACCAAGGAGCTGAATCAGATACAGAGCATCAGGAAGATATGGGACAACAGGCCAAGCCACAATACTTGTGCCTATTTCAAAGCTTTCTTCCTAAGCACTACGGAAAAGCGGAAAAGTTCCCAGGGCCAGCACAGTGGCATAGTAGGTTGAGTCTCAGCCTATGGCACTGGCATCTCAAAGGGACACCAGCTCAACTCCCGGCTGTTCCACTTCTGATCCAACTCCCTGATAATGTGCTTGGAAAAGCAGCAGAAGATGACTGAAGAGTTTGGGCCCTGCACCCACGCAAGAGACCAAGCAAAAGGTCCTGGCTCCTGGCTTTGAAACAATCCAGCTCCAGGTGAGGCGGCCATGTGGGGATCAAAGAGCAGATGGAAGATCTCTCTCTCCTTCTGCCTCTGTGATCCTGCCTTTCCAATAAAAAAGCAAATCTTCAAACAAGAAAGAGACAGAGAAAAGAATGAAGGAAGGAAGGAAGGAAGGAAGGAAGGAAGGAAGGAAGGAAGGAAGGAAGGAAGGAAGGAAAGAAGGAAGGAAAGGTTTCCATTCTTCTTTAAGAAAAAGAGGTATCCAATAATGTCTAAATACAAATGGGAGAATGGAAAAAATGGTAGGAGAAAGAAAGCAAGCGAGGGAGAGAGGAAGCAGTCAGGCAAGCTACAGCAAACCAATAGGCTCAAAACTAAAGAGGCAAAAATGGTTCTTCCCCATGTGTACACTTCACAAAAGATTGTGCTGTAGACGAGTCTGCCAAACATGAACTGACTTTGACAGCTGGGGTGAGGACAGTCTCCCGAATGCAGTCCAACACCTTCCCAGGTTTACCACCTAACAGTTCTCACTTTAAAAAAAAATAGACAATGAAGGGATTCCTAAAGTGAGAAAAGAGGCAAAGTAAAGCCTGTCATCCCTTTAAAAACTAGATTTTGTGAGAACAGCTAGTTTTACTTTTAACATGACACAAGTCCTATGCTACTGGATCCCACCCACACCCCAAAAATCTTTGTGCCACATCCCAGCATCTCTAGCAGGTTCCCTCATACACTGACAGAGATAAGAAATTTAGTCTCGGGCCTGGCACGGTAGCCTAGCAGCTAAAGTCCTCGCCTTACACACTCCAGGATCCCCTTTGGGCGCCAGTTCTAATCCCAGCAGCCCTGCTTCCCATCCAGCTCCCTGCCTATGGCCTGGGAAAACAGTAGAGGATAGCCCAAAGCCTAGGGACCTTGCATC